AGGGTGGTAATGAGCACTTTGTGTGGAAAATATTGCTAATGCATGCTGACCTTATCAGAGAGGGCTGAATGCCGTTTTATTGAATGACTGTTTCACTGAGAACTATGGCCTTTTATATAAACAGGCAGATCAATAAAATGGAAGGCACATAAGCCATCAGCGGGTAAAATGAATTGAGAGAGCTTTCATGCACCATTCACACGAATAAGCGGTTAAAACGGAAGACATCTGGCTTGAAAAAGTGCTCAAATAAGTTTAATGTTGTGGCCGAAAATTTATAAATAGCCATTGCGAAATCTCTATACTATTTTGTGTAAATTAATATAAAAATAAATTAAATAGAAATAAAAAAATAATTCATATAATTATTTTGTGTGAGTTTATGTGGGTGTATATATATATATATATATATATGTATATGAAAAATCTTTATTTCTTCCCAAATCAGTTTAATGATGCTAGTTGCTCAGAAATTACTGTAGCCTATCTTTAAAATGAAATGTTGCACCACTGCTTTTGTTGCATATAGATGATTCCAATAGATTTTACGACCGTGTACGACCGTGAGTGGAACCCTACCGCCGTCCCATCTCTCTCTTGGCATGTGGCCTTTGCTCAAACCACATCATTAACATAAAAATCAAATAACACTGTCTTATTGCACTGTGTGGATCCCCCCTCTCCAGGGGGGCATCATGCCAACAGTTCTAGTTCACTTCCTCCATCTCTCTTTCGTTTCTCTGTCTCCCTCATAATGCCAATGCAATGCTTTATATTTCAGATAAACTTTCTGTTCATCAAAGAATACAGAATTTTTTTGTACACAACTGTTTTAAACATTGATGATGATAATAATAATAATAATAATAATAAATGTTTCCTATTACTATTATATAAATATTTTTATTTTATTTTAATGTAAAATATAAAATGTATTATAAAAATAGATAAAGCAAATATATGGCCCTAGACAAGATCAAGTGGATTATGAACTAGAACTTTGTTTCTTTTCTAGTCCTGTTGGGAGTCTGGTGGGAATTATGTCCATGTATTGTCCGCTAGTGTGGATAACTGTGTCCTCAGAGCTGAAGTGGAAATGACAGAGTTCAGTGGCGACTCGTCTCTGTGCTGAAAGCCCAGCTGGTGTGTGCTAAATCTGCTTTGTGAAAAGGCCTCTCCATGCCCTTTTGTGCAGCTCTCTAGCACTCAGTCTATTCGGCCGTGTGTGTGTGAGGGACCCCAGTCTGACTGATGTTAACACTCAGACAGGGTAAATTAAAGCTGAGAGCTGGGTAAAGTAATCAGAGCTTTTCTCTCTGTTCATATTTATTCTAGACTGTATCTACATGTCCTCACTCATATGATACTCTAAAAGCCACAGTATGGCAGCATTGACCCTTCATTATTGGATAAGATAGCTTACTTTTAGGTTACTGCGATATAATTGTATAATTGTCAGAAAAAATATACAGCACAGAGAGGTACAGTACTGGTACTATCTGGTATTTTTCACTTCAGTTTACATTTTTAAAATATTTTCAGGGCCAATGATTTTTAAAAATACATTAATTCAGTTTAAAATAATAACTTTTTTCTATATTGTATGCAGTTATCGAATTGAATGAACTTTATTTAAATGCCTACACAGACACACACACTTGTGACTGCATATCAACTGATTTGAGTTGCTATACGTTGTTTGGCAACCACTATCAGCCTACAGTTATAGTCTAATAAACTATATTCCTTGCTGGCAGAATTGTTTATTATAATTGTTTATTATAAGTATTTTTTAAAATCTTATTACCGTGGTTGCTTTTTGTCATTACTGCAATTTACTCTTATTGATGATAAAAGGTTATCTGTAGCTATTGTTATTTTTTTTTAAAGAAAATCTTCATTTGCTAACCCCAGAATATGATGTATATTTTATTTTTTTGTTACAAAGTAGGTATTGTTCTGAAACTGGCTTGAAGAATATGGTCCAAAGAGATATTTGACCGTCGCAGCAAGGTTTACTGCTACTAATTTAATATCAAAATGAATTTGACTCCAATTTACTTTCTTAGTACATTTTCCTTTTCATATATTGTGCACTATTTATCAGTGCATGGTATTTTAAACCTAAAAAGTCTTCAAAATATTTAATCAAAATTTTATTTAATCAAAACTTCCTCTGAAATGATTTTTAATTATGATTTGCAATAGCCACTTTTCACTGTTCAATCAATTCCTGATGGGTAAAATAAAGCCCTGCCATACAATTTTGCTCTTTGCTCTTTCTCTTCTGTTGCTTGAAAATATGTCACATTACGGAGAAGTATGGGTTGCGAATGAGAATCATGTTGACTTAATGTAAACCGATGCTCTGAACCTTTAAAATTACCATTATATGTGTCATTATGTCAACATTGAAGACTGTTTCATGTGCTCAGAGGGCTGTAAAATCATATCTAGCTATATTAGGATGAATGTCTTGGTTGCCATTGAGGTCTGCATTTGTAATGTGACTTCTATGGTAGACAATAAAGTCTAAATGTGTTTATCTTATCCCAGTATTGAGATTGGTTTCCTGTTAGTTCAGAAAAGCTGATCTGAAATCAGTGCTGAATCTTTCCCCACAGGCTCCTCAGTCAGTGATCGAGGCTTTTGTTGGTTAAGTGTTGAAGCTCTGCACAGCTTTTGTATTTGACAGTCATTTCACACCATTAGGGGTTAATTGGGATCTTCAGCACATATGCGATTCTGTTCCTTTTAAAGGAAACGTTCAAGCAAACACTTGACAGAACAAACAGACCTACCGAATGAGCCTAACGTGTATTGAGACCTCTTATATCACTTTACCTGCAATACAAATCTTTTTCTCCATATCTTTCTGTCTCTGCCTCTCTTTTTTCCCCCTCTCCATCCCTCAGTCCCTACGGATGCTTTCGGTTTGCTCCAGGAAATGCTTTAACCCCCTTTGTACGGTGACAAAGGGGTGTGTTAATCTCACCGAGTTAGGAGGCAGGCACATGGGGGTGGATGCCAGGGAGAGTCGAGCAGCCGTGTGTGTGTGTGTGTGTGAGGTAGATGTCAGAGCGTTCACCGGCCACACACATGCTACACGAGCCACCGAGAATGGTTAGAGAGATACACACTTGATACACACCGTTACCAGGAAAGGACTTCTGTTGTCTCGCTGCAGTATCAAGGTCTGGCTGTTAAAAGTGTTTTGTTTTGTGTTTTTTTTTTTACCCGGAATAACCCTTTTTTAGTTTGTTGTTTGGTTTGTTTTCAGTGATTTGATTGTGTGTTTTTATAGAGTTTTCATTAGGGTATTTTCTCCCACCCTGTGGGTCAAAGTTATACCTTCAGGGTGAACTATTTCCTTTCAACTCTTTGACTCAGGTTCTGTGACTATAGTCATTAGAACAAACAGCATTTTGTCCATTGCACAGTACACACCTGGTATCACCTTTCCTGTGAAAACCAGTCAGATTTGTCTGTGTGCGCTGCTGATTTGTTTATTCTGAAGTCATTGTGTGTGCTGATGTCAGTATGTACAACTAAAAGCAAGGTTTTATGGCAGCGTGTATGTTTATGATGGGAGGCACCTGTCTGTGGTATGATAGATAGATAGATAGATAGATAGATAGATAGATAGATAGATAGATAGATAGATAGATAGATAGATAGATAGATATTTAACAATCAGTATAAAAAATATTTAAATGTGTGGATGAATGGATGTATAAATATTTTAACAAGTGGATGAATTGATGAAAAAATGGATGGATAAATGGTTGAACGGATGGATGGATGAAAAAAGAAACAGATGGATGGATGGATAAATCAAGAATTGGATATTTATGGATGGATGAATGAATGAATAGATGTATGGATGAAAAAAGGAATGGATGATTGATAAATGGTTGGATGGATAAATGGATTGATGGATGAATGAATGGGAATTTGGGAAATGGATAAATAGAAGGGTGGATAAAAAGAAATGGATGTTTGAATAAAGAAATAGATGGATGGATGGATGGATGGATGGATGGATGAAAAATAAAAGATGATATCGATAGATCTAGGTTTTTGATAATACAAATAATGATAAATTTTTATAGTTGTCTCTCAACATGAGATAGATATTGCATTCTCTCAGAACCCCTTTCATCTCTCTCTCTCTCTCTTGCTTTCTCTCTCTCGCTCTCGCTCTCGATCTCTCTCTCTCGCTCTCGATCTCTCTCTCTCTCTCTCTCTCTCTCTCTCTCTCTCTCTCTCTCTCTCTCTCTCTCTCTTCTCTCTCTCTCTCTCTCTCTCTCTCTCTCTCTCTCTCTCTCTCTCTCTCTCTCTCTCTCTCTCTCTCTCTCTCTCTCTCTCTCTCTCTCTCTCTCTCTCTCTCTCTCTCTCTCTCTCTCTCTCTCTTGCCCTATCGTGCCGGCATGCGGCCTGTCTCCATGACAACACCTCAGGTCAGCTCTGAGAGGTGGGAGGTAGTTAGTGTGAATTTTTTTGTTGTTGTTTTATTGCCTGTTTCTCTTTCTCTCTCTCTCTCTCTCTCTCTCTCTCTCTCTCTCTCTCTCTCTCTCTCTCTCTCTCTCTCTCTCTCTCTCTCTCTCTCTCTCTCTCTCTCTCAATCTCCCTCTTTCTGGTCTCTGTGAGACAGCAGCTGAGAATGCGTGCATCTCGAGGGAGAACTCTAATGTATGCACGACTATGAACCAGCACGTGTGATGTAGAGGTGCCAAGGGGGGTGTCGATGAAAGCAGGTCTCTCTGTCAGTCTTTCTGCTGATCTACAGCATGGCTTTGTGTTTGCACAGAAGCAATAATGTGTAGAAATCCCAGTGGGGCATGAAATAACACATTTTGTTTGTTTGTTTTATTCACTTTTTGGTGCATCTGTGATCCAGCAAGTCTTTTGTCCTTTAGTCATAATGTCCCTCAGTCGTTTGACACGTTCCTCAATCATTTGCTTTGTCATATCAGTTCTTCTTGTTTGTTTTTTTACAGTGTCCTCACCATTCTGTTGTCGTCTGGTTGGAACGAGAGGATCCACTCTTTATACAGTCTAAACGGGTAAGATGTGGCTCACTGGATTCTTTTTTAATTTGTATGCGATAAAATTTTTCACTGACTTTTTGATGTACTGTTTGTAATTCAGTGGCTGTTTCCAGACAGAGAGAAACAGAGTAGAGACATGAAAAGAAAAAGATGAAAAAGAATTATTAAGAATTGATAAGTTTGGATTCATGACATGTATCCCTCCTCTCTTCACCAACTAAAAACTGTTACTGAAAGCAAAAGAAGCATATTTTGACCGCTTACACACGCTGCTGTGTGCTGACAGATTTTTACCATGTTGAAAGCTGTGAAATGTGTCTGATCTCTCTCATACTCTGTTGTTTGTTCTTGATCTTAGGCCATTTAGTATGTTTTTTTTATGCTACACTAAAACAGATTTTGTAAATGAATTATTTAAAGGGATAGTTCACCCAAAAATGAACATTCGGTCATCATGTTGATCCAAAAAATTTGAAGTTATAAAGAATGTGCTGGCCAGTTTTCCCTCAATAACAAGAATGTGCAGTGGTTCTTTAAAAGCTTCAAAAGGACACAAAATAATCATATATGTATCATAAAAGTGAACTTCTGAGTTCATACTGTATGATAACTTGAACCACTGTAACTAAATCATTCGGTTATTTGAACTAAGGAACAAATCATTCTTGAACAAATCATTCAGGCAAGCATTTGAGCTGGATCAGTTGATTGAAAAGATCTGAAAATAACTATTTGTTTATGAATCAGGCATCACTTCTTGCCAAGCTAGCATGGATGCCAAGTCAACATAAATTTTGATCTGTTCCTCCGTTTTAACACAGTCATGGATTACTTTTAAAAATATTTTTATGGTGTTTATGGGTCATTTTGTATCAGTGCCAGTTCGTTGTAATCTGCATTCCACAGAAGAAAGTAAGTCAAATGGATTCCGTTTGGGGTAACATTGTTTTTGTGTGTGTGAACTATTTTCAACTTTCATTTTTAAGGATCTGAAACCAAAATAATAAATACATTCAGATGCAAGGTAGTAGCTAAAAGTGTGAAGTACACAAAAACACATTGTAGGAAAAAAAAAACGTGAAAGTGCTGATCTATTAATGTGCTGAAGCTGCATATGCTGCTCTGTCATCCAAATGTTCGATTTGGCCTCTGAGGGCACAAACCTGGCTGTCAGCAGTGTTAGGCAACAATGTGAGACACTTCCGCCAAAAAAACCAATGGATCAGTTAAGCCTTATATAATCTAATCTGATTTAATTCAGTGAAACATGATGAATCTGTGGAATAAATAATGACAAATCTGTAATCAAATATGAGCACATCTTTACCTCAGTGTAAATTGCAAACTTTTACATGCCATAATTTGATTGAGTTCTGTTGAAATTATCCAGAATCATTCATATTCCTGCCATGACCAATGTATTAAAAACACACACTGCTTGACTTCTTGCTAGGAATGCAGTTGATAGTGGTTCAAAGGAGTTGCTTGCGATTGGTTGAATACGTGGAGCATTTTACATGCTCCAGACACTGATACTATGATTACAACTGTTTTTTTTCTTGAAATGAATGAACTTGAATGTGATCTTTCCCTAATGATGATCCCTGCTGTGTTTAGACATTACCGGGAGCGTCTTGCCCCGTTAGAGCGGATATACAGACGTGTTCTCTAGAGCTCAGCTGTGTTTTGTAGAAAAGAGCAGATAGAAATAGACAGTGATCTCGTGCCATGTGCATGAGCATGATGCTGCTGGGCAGTTGTTTTTATAACGTATAATGCTGTCAACATTTTTTTGTTTGTTTGTTTGTTTGTGTGGACTGAGACACATTTTATGATATATTTGCATGGTGATTCTTCAATCTGACTTAAAAATAATAGTTGACCCAAAAATTAACATACTGTCATTTTTCGCACCCTCAAGTCATGTGAAACCTGAATGACTTACAGTAGGCCTACTTTCTTCACTGGAACACAAAAGCAAAATTTGCAGAATTTGCATGCTGCTCTTTTCCAGTAAATGATAAGTGATGCGCATGTGCACGGCGTCTGCGTTTTCGCGGGTGTGCGTTTTTGAGGTTTGCACAGTGATAACTTTTTTTTTTTTTTTTTTTTCAAGGCCTGCACCTTGAAACCTATTTCAGGGTTTGCGTTCTCGAGCCACCAGGCACTGTTTTGTGCCGATGGGCGGCCGGAGCGCGTTGAGGGTTTTCTGTTAGAACGGTGTCTTGTTAGCGTCCCCTAAGTTAATAACGGAAGTGAATAAATCAATCAAAACTAACTTTAGCTTCATAAAAGGAGTCAATTTGTCTTGTGCAGAATATTCCATGTATTATATATATATATATATATATATATATATATATATGCCTATATATTTGTGAACTATCCCTTTAATATTTGCCTGCGATGCAGATTTGAACTCTGACTTTATAATTATAGCTAAATGTATTGCCTGAGAATTATGTTCCTGCTCCACAAAAGGATTAGATGACATGACAAGTATTACATCATAGCACATTTTGAACTGTGTAATGGCAGTGATATCGGCACACACTGTAAAAGCTCCTGTTCACCCACATACAGCATGTGGACAGATGACCACAGTTTATCTGATCGCCGAACAGATGGAACAGAGAGAGCAGTGTGCCAACCCATCCTTTCCTTCTGTATTCTCTAAAATAAACTGTGAAAAGAGATATCATAGAACATAGCGTAGAAATAGAATAGTGAATGAATGAATGAATGAATGAATGAATGAATGAATGAATGAATGAATGAATGAATGAATGAATGAATGAATGAATGAAATAAAGGATGAATTTTAATAATAAATATGTATTATTCAAAAATAAAGTATGATATAATATAAACAAAAACAGAATTGGTACTATATTGGTAACATATTTTTAAATTCGTACTTAAAACAAATGAATTAATAACAACTTATTCTGTGTCCTTTCCTCCTGTATTCTGAAATAGGAAATATATTTAATAAACTTTCCTAGTTATGCATTCCATTGAATAAATTAGTAGTTTAAAGCACATAGACATGTATGCATTATTTATCTGTACAATTGTAATTCATTCATTAATTCATTCATAATAAATGTAGGCCTATTATTTAAATAAAGATATGATCAGGTGTGCACATAACGTTTTTGGTCTGGTTATCAAGGGAGCACCTGGAGATGCTGTTTGTTACTCACACTTTTAGGCGGCACACATATCCTACAAGCTGCCTAAATGGAAAACAACACTATTTGATCACTGTAGAAATTAAATATAGGTTTATCTTTGTTAACGCTGTATTTTATATTACACAGACAACAGCAGGAATATTAGGCTGCTGTCACTTTAAGACCGAATGCACAGACCTAATATACTGACCGTTTTCTTTCTCAACTTTTCACTTATGACATAACAGAGAGAATTCTTGCAGAGATGGGTATTTTGACATATTTTTGTGTGTATGTGTCCGTTCAAGTGCAAGTAAACGCGATCCGTTGCACCCCTAATTATGAACACACTTATCATCATGAATGCTATCTTACGAGAGATATAGAAAAATCCTACTCCAGTAAGTAAACGTGTCCCTGTCCCCAGAAATGTTGGTGCTCAAAAGCGCTTCCCTCCGCGTTTTCTGCTGCGCATTGTTTATTTTTACCACGCATGCGTATCAGTTATGTGCACCCCTGGGTATGATGTATTTTAAACAGAGACAGAAAATATACTATTTTGGTAACTTATTTTTAAAGTATATTAATTTTATAAAACTAAGTTCTAAATTGAACCACCATAGCAACAATAATTCAGCAAAATGGTTCAGCGAAAAGAGGAGGCGTGTTCCGGCGCAAAAGTTCCCTGGTACTATTTTGCAGTTTCAGAAAACAATTCCGCCACAGACCAGGAAAAACCTAGTCTAAAGTCAGTGGCGCATTATTCAGATGCAATTTTAAGGGCGCATGCTTGGCCATAATGTAGCGTGTGCACAACGCGCATACACTTTGCTTCTCTCATACACAGACACAGCAGTTCCCATTTTTGCAAACCATACATACAAGGAAAAATATTACCACACGAGGGAAATCATTGTGGTGTCCATGAAGATCTGAATAAATAGACATAAATCTAGTTTACACATTTACCCAAATTATTATACGCCTGTTTAACCAAAGCTAATTTGGGTGGGTTTCTCCCATCCCCATACAGTGTCACTTCTCTGTCTTTTACGGCCCTGATGAGAATGTCGGTCTCCTCGGCTGTGAACCGCTCCTGGTGTGCGCCTGGCAAATCAGCCATTATAATAGCAATCCGCCATGGAACAAGCGCACCTGCTTTTAAAGTGAATGTGAGATGACGCTCCGATTGGTTTATTTCACGTTACGCCCAAACCACACCTATGAGTAATGTAGCTACTTCAGACCAACCCATTTTAGATTTGCGTCGGGTGCAAGAGGCATTTATCCCGCCGGTATAATAGCAACAGCGCCCGAGATCCGCCCACAAAGTTACTTCCGTTTCGCGTTTGATACTTGTGTTTCATATCGTTAAAATAGGGCCCATTGTGTTTTTCCAGAATACAAATAAGTCTGGTTTACAGTATGTGGCCTATCTTAGAAGAGGTCTTTTATGAAATGCTCAACCCACCATCTCAGTGTTTCATCACTGATGGAAAGAGAGTATAGATTTTATACAAGAGGACAGCACTGAGGCAGATTATATAGTCTGATCAACAGATTGTGGGACATTTGAGAGCTCCTTTACAATAAGTGTTGAATAAAACATAACGTCCCCCTGTCACACATGTGCTCAGGGAAAAGCACTGCAGAAATGAAGTCAGTAGACTGAAGTTATGACTCATAGCGTTTAGGAACCATTGAGTCATTTTTGGACATTCCCGGCTGCTTTTTAAATAATTAATGCTTTGTAGTAGTTTCTGAAGGATTGACAAAGAAGTACTCTGTCTTCAGTATATTTCAGTCTGACATTCTTTTTAACATTATAGAGAGTTTTTT